GTTCCTCCACAGCCCCTGAAGCCACCTCATGACGCTTGCTCGCGTGGCTGCCAGAAGGCTGTCATAGTGCAGGGGAGGACAGCCAGAGTGGCCATGTGATCCCCTTGCTGCTATTCCTGGTGCCCCGCGAGGCTGGAGGACTGTCACACGGAGTGAGGATCACCCGGCTGTAGCGTACAAACCAGGTGAGTCCAGCTGTGGTGACAGCAAATTCCTAATTAGTTCATTGCGTCAGACGGCCAAACACTCAGAGTCATTACCCAAGGATGGCCTACGTGCCCGGCAGGGCGTACTCCCCTGATCCCTGCTTCCCAAAACAGGACTGGGAGAGCCAGACGAGCTCACCCTGGAAAAGGGACATGCTGTGTGGTGTGCCCCACAGGCCAACAAGCTCCAGGTCCCGCAAACCACACGGGGAAAACCCAGCGAGACAAAGTGCCAGCACGCAGCAAATGGCCCGAGTGTGGCTGTCCTACGCGGCAAGGTCTCATCCTGCCCCGTGCCTGGGTGTGGGGTGGGTCTCCCCCACAGCCACAGGGCCTGAGCACAGGATGGTGGGTTATACACCAGCTCCCCCATCCTGCTCTCCTCCCCCTGAGGCTGCAGGCAGGCATTATCCTCTCCTTTCCAACCGCTGCCTGAGGACAGGGATCTGGGCACACGTTTGGATGCCCCTCAGCAAAGTGGTACCAGGGCAAGCTCCCTGTGTGCTGGCTGGCAGGTTTGCAGAGAGATCCTCTCCCCGTGAGCTCGGCTGGACGCGGTGTGAGTGCCAGATGGGGGTCGGAGCCCTGCCACACACCCGCTGTCTGCAGCACCACAGAGCACTGGCACTGCTGCCTCAGAGGTAGCACAGGCAGGTTTGGCAGAGATTTATGTATCTTGGAGTAGCTTTCCCTGTGGTGGTAGCTGGAACTGATTCTGAATACTTAGCTGGTTTAATATGAAAACAAAAATCCCTGGATTGACAGCTTGTCCAAGCAAGGCACCATTTGAGCTCCTGGCAGCCAAGCAGTGAGAACTAATGCTGGTCACAGGGTGGAGGTAAGAAACTGCAGGCCCAGCTGAGCAGCTGAGCTCTGCTCCATGCTTCATCTGGAGTTTAGATGCTCTTCTTTCCTCGAACCAAGTTAACACAGGGTGGCAAGGTGTGCCCTCGTCCTCCCTGGGCTTGAGCCCCATCAAGGCCTGTGATGCCAGTGGCTTGGAGGTGCTGCAAAGTGCAAAACTAGGCAGGGAACTCCTGCCCACCACAATGTGGAAGCATCTATGTCACTACAGGCTCTCCTGTCCTCCTCCTGCATCCCCGCGCAGCCCCAGGGGCACCTCACTCCACTGGATGGAGAGTTCTCTTGCCTGCTCTCTGGATGAAGGATCCTGCAGGATCCAGGATGTCACTGAAGCACAGACACCTTTGGAGTAACCACCTCCCAGCACACAGCAATCCTACCTAACTGGTTCAGGCAAGGGGTGATGAAAAGCCCTGTGTCCTGCTGAAACCACTGTGGGATTTAGGTCAGGCAGGTGGGATCATCCAGGCCAGAGCAGGACCAAAGTGCCTGAACTGGTGCCCAAACAGTTCCAAGGGCACCACCAGATCGGCATGGCATCATTCCTGGGGCACGGCTGGCCATGCTGAAGGGGTCAGTGCTGCAGCACCATCCTTGCCCATCCCCTAAGTAACACGGGTGCTGCTGAAAAATGGGGCCCAGCCACTGACAGCATTTTCTGTGGGGTTCCTGGCCCCATACCTCAGGACAGCTCTGCTCCTGCCTAGTGGCATGGGGGTGGCACATGGGTGAGTGCCCCCAGCAGGAAGTGGGTCAATGTGCTATTTGGAAAAGCCATGTTAGACCTTCTCTCCTGGAGAAACGCCTCTCTCAGACTCTCATCCAGAGCTCCCCACCAGCAGCTCGGCACCTCCAGTGCTCCCCAGAAGGAAACCTCACCAATGCAGGCAGACAAAGCTGCCTCTGAAGGAAATTTCACTCCCCATGTGACAGAATGGGCAGGGTGGACAGGAAAGCAGCGACTGCCCCAGCTCACTCCCTGCTGGGAACAGCAAGGGCTGGTTGGTGGTGCATTGCAGGCATGATCCACACCCGCCCGGGGGCAGAGGGAAGCTGTAGGGCTGTGCTCAGTCACTTTTCCGCTCAGTCACCTGTCCCACAGCTGTGCCAGCGAAGCTATTGTTCTGGCCCCTAGAGTGGGAAATCCCAGATCCAGCGGGAAATGACCAACACATACAGTCCCAGGTGAGCCTCGGAGGCCCCAGAAGCAAACAAAAAAAAGGGGCTTTTCCTCTCCTTATATCAAAGCACCAAGCAGACCTCACTTCCTGCCTCTGCCAGCAAATATCAGGGAGTTACTCAGCTTCTTCTCCTGGCTTTCCCCACCAAAGGGGATCCCTGATGCAAGTGGTGGATCATTGGGGAGCAGGATGTGGGGCTGTGAACATGCCCAGGGCATAAAGAAGCTGCAGAAGAAGAGGATGCCCCGGCACTGCCCTGCAGCACTGCCCTGCGAGCCCGGGCATGGGGAGTCTGTAGACAGCACGGGGCGGCTGTGCCCCCAAAGCCCAGCCAGCTCCCAGCACCCGCACCCTGGGCGTGCCAGCAGGGCACCGAGAGAGAGTGGAGAGGGCGCTAGGGCCCGGAGTCACGGTGGCAGTCCGGGGTAAAACCTGCGCGGTCCCGCTCGCCCCGGGGCGCGGGCAGCCGGGCGGGGGCGGCGGTGCCGGTGCCGGTGCCATCTCCTCGAGGACACCTTAACGGCGGTGCCGGTGCCGGTGCCGGTGCCATCTCCTCGAGGACACCTTAACGGCGGTGCCCGCGGGCGCCTCCCGCCGCCCGCCCCGCTCGGCTCCCGCCGCTCCTCGCGGGGAAGCAGCTGACTCGGGGCGGCTGCCAGCGCTGCTGGCTGCTGGATCCGGCCGCGGCAACGTGCAGCCCGACATGTAAACCGGGCAGGCCTATGCTAATGGCGGGGGGAGGGTGCCTGGCGCAGGGGCGAGGGGGACGGAGGTGGAGGCCGGAGCACAGCCAGAAAATTCCCCCCCTTCTCCGCCCCCCCGCTTCTCCATCACCACCTCCCCGCATCCATCTGCCTCCCCTCCTCCTCCTCCATTCATAAAATCGGGCGGCACTGCCACCTACCGTAGCGTGCGGCGGCCGGCCCGCCGCTCCGCTGGGCCACGGGCAGCCCCCAGCCCAGCCCCCTGCCCCGGCACCCCGACCCCCGCCCCAGCAGCGTCCCCAAAGCCCGCAGGAGACTCCCCACGGGGCAGAACGGCAGTCCTGTCCCTGCCCTTAACACCAAGGTGGGGTCTCTCCGTCCAGCCCCTCACCCGAGCCTCAGGTGTGCCCCAGCTGTATTTGGGGTGGTCTCCTCGCCACTCTCGGGGTGAGCACCGCCAAGAGCTGAGCGGTCAGCCCCACCGCTGCCCAGCCTGCTGGAAATCAGAAGACAGACAGCAGTCTCTTACCTGTGCTGTGTGTTCCCACCCATAGGGAAACCCCCAGCTCGTGTTTTGAAGCACCTCCTTAAAACCACAAAGCCCTCTCTCGGCACGGGGGAGATAGAGGAGATAAAAGCCTGTCATGGGCCTTAGGTTTCAAAAAAAAGAGATTAAAGTAGCACATACCCGCCAGGAGAAGGGTGAGTGAAGCCGTCAGTCATAGTCCCTGCTCAGGAAGAAACCCTCCCAGGGCCAAGCAACCCCCTCCAGGAAGAGACACTGAGGGGCAGCCCCTTTTCCTCGGCAATCCCTTTCCAATTCCCCGCTGGGGAGGGCCGAGACTCCCACCGCCCTCTCCTTGTAGCGTTCTATTCTCCCTCCTCAGCACACAATGGGGCAGTCCCTGGCTGGGTCTTATTCCACATCCCTTACCAGCACCCACAGGAATGAACTCCTGTGCCTTCCCACATCAGGGGACTCTCCCCAGTCCCACATGACTTTCCTTTCCTTTCTTCCTCCCTGCCTTCCTCCCTCTCCCCTAACAAAGGATAGTTATCCCCAGCCAGTAAAGATGGCAACCCCACAGCCCGGTGGAAGGGAGCAGCCCTGCAGGGCCGGACCTGCGGGCTCACGGGCGCATGAACAGGAGCACCAGGCTCTCTGGCCAGGTGTCCCCCCGGCAGCATTTCAGCTCATGCCAGCCTCCTTCTTTGTTCCCCCACCAGGACTAAAGCCTCGACGAAGTGGGAGAGAGGGAAGAGGGGGAATTTGGACAGGCCCAACAGAACCTGCACGCGGGTCAGCGTGTGCAATGCCTGTGCAGGTGGAAGACCCTGCGCTTGAAGCTGAATGGGGAACACTGAGCATCTCTACAGGGAACAGAGAGAGGGAGGGAAGTAGGGAGGGAGAGAGGGAAAAAAAAAATCGTGCGAGTGCAGAGTTTGCAAAATGAGCTGATGGTAAATAGCTGGAGGATAGACAGCGTCTCTGTACGTGAGGCGCAGCACGGAGAACTGCACCTGAGCGAGGCTGGGCCACTGCTCGCTCCAGCATCACACGTCACTCACTGATGCATCCTCCCCAGCCTGCTCTCTCTGCACCAGCTCCCCCGCCTCCACCACGAAAATGCAGTGGGAAAAATGGGTTCCCCCCCACGCTCAGTGCAGCCACAAAGCAGAGAGCTGGGAGAAGCGCAACTGAACTTGATTCAAGGTCCAGCAGGTGCCTGCCAAGGGAGATTCAGTACCACGAACCTCCTGATCCCCTTTTCCTGCTGGGAACCCACAGCCCCTTCAGCTCAGTGTCTCCCTGCTCAGCTGCTTTCTTCCCCGAGCAATGGCAGCCGTGTTTGCCAACACTCCCTGCTCGCTAGTGCTGCTATCCAAGGCCCTTTGTTCCCCTGGTCGTGCCGCCTTCCTTTGCATTCCGCAGCCAGACGCCGAGGCCCGACACAGCTCATCTCACCTGGGGTGCTCCAGACGGGAGGTCACCAGCTTTCCCCTCCCTCCCTCCCCTGCAAGACCAGGCAAAACTCCCACAGCACCTGGAAACGTGTCTCCCTCCCTACGCGGGAAAAGGAAGGGAAGCCATCCTTTCCCTGCAGGGAGGCGCGCTCAGGGCTGTCGGTGACTGCAAACCCTGCCCCTCATGTGCAGTTTTGCCAGGCGTGCTCCCCAGGCCCGCCGGGATCGCCGGTCCCTCGGGCGGCCGCCGGCGGCCCCGCAGCGCGGTTCCGTGGGAAGGCAGCCCGGCACCCGCCTGACACCCTGTGGCCGCCCGCCGCCTTGCAGGGACGGGGAGCGGGACGGGGATGGGCATGGGAATGGGGATGCTGTGGGAGGGGGCACACAGGGTCTCTTAGCAGAGCAAAGCCGGCAGGAGCAGGGAGAAGCCACAGACCGGGCACAAGCCTGGCTCCTGCCACCCGCCATGCAGGGATGAAATGCTGCATACTTTAATAAAGCAGCACACACGTGTCCCAGCAGTTTCCATAAGTGCCCATGGATTCAGCCCAGCACGTCCAGGAGCACAAGAATTTCAATTTACTGCTAGCTGATGCCACAGGCTCATATGAGTGTACAGGACCTCTTGCTCTACGGCAGCACATGACAGCAGGGGCTGCTATAACAATGCCCCAACAGAGGCTCTTAGGAGCCTCCTAAGAACATTCACATGGGTTTCAAGACCCTCAGAGAGTCTTCCCTAATGCACAGCAAGGCCTTTCCCTGCTCCTCTCTGGCTTTACTCCAGAAGGATGAATTTCTGCTTTCCAAAGCACAAGGGCTGGGTCTCTGCAGGGGCTGGAGTAAAGCATCCCTGCTGGCACACCACCAGCCCCACAGGCTGCCCACTTGCTGCATGTGCATGGGAGGTGTGAGGGTCACAGTGACCATGTGTGGCGTGTGTCCCGCCCAGGTCGGGATGAGGGACACACTCGTGCACGAGTGCCACACCCTGGCAATTCCCACTGCTCAGTGCTAGCCTGCAGCATGTCTGAGGCACCAGCAGCAGCTATGCCTGCAGGACCCCAGCCCAGGGAATTTCCTGCAGCAGCTGTGGGTGGAGCTAGCACTCACCCTTCTTAGGGAAGTGGGAGGAATAGCTCCATGTGGTGCTCCGGGGGACTTACTGATCCTTAGCAGCCTCCTCTTTTCTCATCCCTGGAAAAGCTGCCAGTATACTGAGGACAGGGGGAGGTGAAGGTGTTTTTCTTGAGAGCTAAGTCACCTTGGAGCAGGAGGCCCATGCACCAGATTATATCCTAGGTAACGCAAATGAAGTCCTGCAACCTTGATAGAAAAGCTTATCTCCGTTTAGGATGGAATCCTTTGTGTACTCTTACTGAGCTGCCTCCCGTCTCCATTTTACAAACCCCAGTGGAGTGCCACCCTTACTCCTGTCAGAGCCTTGGAGAGACTCCTCCAAACCCCACCAAGCATGGCACATGGCTGCCGGCTCGATGCTCCTGCAGGAACATCAGCTGCACGCCGGGAGCTGGTGATCCCCGCTCGCAGCTTCATTCCCGGCCTCCCCTGGGCATCCACAGCTCCCCTGCAGGGAGAAAGGCCCTTCTCATTCCCAGGCCTTCTTGGGGCAGGGCTCCCCCTTGCTGAGAGCTCATTGCCAGCAGGGCAGTGAAGCCATCAGCTGCTTTCTCTGCCCTGACTTTCTCTGCCTGCAGCTTGGAGAGATTTTGACCTGATACTCTGCCCCCGCACGTCTCTCTGGCTGGAACTCAGCGGGAATAAGCAGAGACATTCAGATGATGCATCGCAGGGGAACCATTTTAATTAAATGTGATGCTTTGGTCAGCGGGGTATGGACTTCTTTGGGAATATAGAGAAGAGAAGTGAGCTGGGTGAGTAATGGAGCAGAGGGTGGAGGAGATGTGCCTTGTCAGGGTTAGCTCTGAACTCAGCAGCTTTGCCAGGGAAGTGGAAAGTGGCAGGGTGAGAGTTCTATCCTCAGAGGCCTTGCCGTGGGGCTGGTGCTCTTGGCAATGCTTAACAGTGTCCTGAAAGCCTGGTGCAAACTGGGTTATGCTCCCCCCAAACTCAAAGTGTTCGCTGCTCCCTGAATACCAATCCCTTTCCCAACAGAGAAGCGGGATGTCTGTGCACTGCTTGCAGATGTTTAGGGGTACAGGGACCACATGTTAACTATCTAGCTCTGCCAGAAAAGAAATCTAAAAGCTCAGCAGGGCCCTGCACCAGGTGGATTAGTACAGCAAAGTGGGGAGTCACCGCAGCCACAGCCACCTCCTGTAGGTGGGAATCACCACAAGACCCGATGTCCCACTGCAATCTCAGTGCTGTGTTTGCAGCTCTGCTGGCAGAGGGGATCCAGCACTGCTGGAGTGTTAAGACCAGAAATTGACTTGTGAAGGGGAGTAGGGTTGAGAAAGAATTAAGCAAGGGGATTCTCCCTTATGCAGAAGTGAGAAATCCCCTGGGATTGGGAAGCTTGAAAGAGGGCCAAGCCCTGTGTCCATCCTAAAAAGCCTCTCTTAGGCTGGTTTTCTAGCTAGAGCCTAGTCCACCCTGGGCATCTCCCTGCCTTCACATAGGATGCTCTGGGAAAAGCTCCCAGACACCAAACCACACAATTCTAAATTACCAGGAATGGTTTTCCATTCAAACACCCACTAGGTCTGTTTTCTGCTCCTGGGACTGCCATGGAAAACCACATCCAAGCCCTGCATGCTGCACCTTCCCACAGCCATATCCCTGGAGGAGTCAGAGGTGGGGCAGCCTCCAGCCTGGCACAGAGGCAGATGCCGTGATGGCGAGAAGTGCCACACTCCTGTTCCAGCAGGATGTGTCCCACCACCTTCCCACCTTGGCTGGCAGCAGCCTGGCCATATGATGGCAAGAAGTGCCACACTCCTGTCCCAGCAAGGATGTGTCCCACCACCTTCCCACCTTGGCTGGCAGCAGCCTGGCCATGTGGCCAGCACTGAACCCACCACATGAACCACAATTACATCTCAGGTAACGTGGGGAGCATTCCCAGGTTGCTGGGAAGAGCCATATTTACCCATCACAATAGCAAGACAGAGGGAGCATGGCAGCAGGATGGGTGGCATAGTGGAGGTGGGGAAGTTGTGCCACTGGACCGTGGCAATGCCTGGTGAGACAGCGAGGAAAGGGTGGAGAGTGACTACGTGATGCTTTGCAGGGAGAACTGATCTTATTAATAAAAGCTGCTCCTTCCCAAGGCCTTGATAATCTCTCCTGCTGCAGATTATTTACAGCTGTGGAATTTAATACTCCAATGAACAAAGCTCTCTGAAGCACAGAGGGAGCAAGCAGACTGTTAACCCTTCTGCATGGCACCAGGGGCTTTCGGCTCAGGTTTGATGTCTCAATGCAGCTGAGCCACAGGCTGCCACAGCCCCAGCAGATCTCAGCACCTATGAGGCCAGCACTCAAGCCAGGCTGAGACTTGGCAGAAAGTCAGCTCAAAGCCCATTCAAACTCCTAGATTATGTTAATTTAAAAAGCAGGCCAGTGAATAGTGCTTGCAGGCAGAACTTGGGCAGGGCTGGGGGGATGTGTTGCCAGTGAGATGCTGGTGTATTACACCACCAGGTAAGCACTTGACCTTACAGGTACTGGGTCAGTAAACTCAGCCTCCAGGGTGAGAAGATTGTCAGCCCTAGGTAAGTTACCCACCCCTGATGTTCAGTGCCAGGTGTGTGAAACTGAGTCAGCTGAGACCTGGGAGCCTTGCTGCGAGTCTGCAACACTGCTGGGGACACAACTGCAGCACAGCCCTCCTGCTGCCTTCCCTGGGACCACAGTGCCCATGGCTAAAGTGGATGCATTAGTATATGCTCTGCAATGTAACCCCTTCCCCAGTGTGTCTTGAAATCTCGTGCATCTCAAGAGGACGGCATAGGAACCATCAGACTTGGCGTATTGCCTGGATGGCCCCTTAAATTCAGGTCATTTGGAGAGGGAGATAATAGGGTGGGCTTGAGGCACAGCCTGGCGAAATCAGAGGTGAGAGGGATGTACAGGAAGGATTGGGTAATCATATGGGCTTGTCCCACCAGTGTGTGGGCCTGGTTTGAGTGTATGCATTGCTGAATGGGATGGGCACAAGACAGCAACTAGGGCAAGGAGCTGACAGATGGAGAAAGAAAGGCAAACACCAGCCTCACTTGCATGCTACAATCTACTGACCACCCCATAACAAAGTGGCAGATTTTGCAGCCATGAATGCAGCCTGGGTTTGGTCTGCACCTCTCTTAGCCTGCCTGTACTTCAGATATTCCCCAAGGACCACACAAATTGTTGGTCTGGTTCTGCATAGCGTCCTTTAAAGGGTCACAGTAGCATCCCTGCCATAAACTAGGTAACTAATCCCTAGACATGATAAACCGCCCCTATCCACCCCCCCAGTCCATGTAGGAAAAAGCAGAATTCATGTGGGATCTTTTGTCCCCACAGTCAGTAAAAGCCTGGCTGCTGAAGTGTAGGAAACACAAAGCCTGTGCACCAACTCTGGAGTCCCTTGGGGTGGGAGTCCCTTTATATCTCAGCAGCACTCAGCCTTTGCAGAGCACCAGAACAGCACAGAATACCTGCCCTAAAACCTCAGCATATGCCTCCCAGGTTATGCAGCCCCATTGCTCTGAACTTGACCCCCTCTCCCTACAGTTCCTCTCCCTGCCCTGTGATGCCATCTGCCAAGGATTTCTCAGGGCTCTTCCCCATCCTTCAACTACCCACAAACGAGTAGCTGGAGTTTGTAGAAAGTAGTTTAGCTCAGCCTCAGGTGGCCCAAAGTTTGCACAGGACAGCCCATTAAAGCTGCATCTCCCCATTCTTAAAAGTTTTAATGTTTGTTCAGCTGGCCACAGAAACACAAGGTACTGCCTGCCAGCTATCACTCTACACTGGCAGTGTTTTACCCTTGAGTTTTCCTGCAAGCAAGGCAGGCTGGCAAAGCGGAGACACCAGCAGGGAAGGGAGCACAGGGAGTAGGGGAAGGGTGGATCCCGCCCCACGGAGCCTGATGGGTGTTTGGAGATCCTCCCCTGCAGGCAGGAGGACAGCCCAGCTTCCCTCTCCCCCAGGTTCCACTGCCAAGCTGTCAAGCCCTCCTGAGGAAACTGCCTCTGCAGGGCTGCATTTGATGCCCTGGAGGTCCCCATGTCCTCAGCCCACCCCACTGCAGGTGAGGCCTCCTGGGAACCCATTCCTCCTCCACAAGGCAGAGCCGAGGCAAAGTGTCGGGCTTGTGAAGCCAGCTAAACCAGCTATTTACAGATGTTAGCATTACGAAACACGGATGGGAGGCTTCCTGGAGCTGTCTGGAGCCTCTGGAAGAATGTCCAA